CCTAAAAAATATATCCAAAATGATTTTAATTTGATAATCAACTATCTTCTATAAAAAAATTTAATAACAATTATCTAAGAGGGACTTAAGTATAGGTATTATTATGTTAATAATTATAAAATAAAAATGTATATTATACTTTTAATATGATTACCAAAGTATGTGAGGAGTATTTTCAATCTTTAATAACTTTTTTACTTGTGTAATTTTGACATTCGACTTTCACCCTGTCCTTTTTCATATGAATTACTTTATAAAATTTTCCATCTAGAATTTCAAGATTCAGATTTGATTCAGGAGAACCTATCTCCATAATTTCATCTTCACTACTATAAATGTTAAACATTCTACAAATTAAAAAATATTACATATAAAATATAACCTTTACTTATTTAGTTTTGGTGTTGCTATTTTTAATCTATCTATCTTTGTGATCTGTAAAATTTCCAACTAATTTTGGTTATCAATATATTTAAAATATAGCAAGAAAAAATAAAGAAAATAATACAAGATTTCACGAAGAAAATAAAGTTACATTGTGTGATATGTAAATGTTTTAAACATGAATATTAAAAAGAATCTGTATCTGTATCTTTTTAAAGAAAATGAAAAAGATTCTTTTCAAAATAAAGGATCTTAGATACAGACAGAGTTGGGCAGTACCGCGAATACTTGTATCTAAGATACAAGATCCTTTTGTGTCTTGTACTCAGTATCTTATTGACATTTTTAATAAGATACTAGTATCTGTATCTAGGATCCTTTATTTTAAAAAGAATCTTGTATCTTTTTTATTTTCTTTAAAAAGATACAAGATTCTTTTTAATATTCATGTTTAAAACATTTAAATATCACACAATCTAACTTTATTTTCTTCGTGAAATCTTGTATTATTTTCTTTAATATTTCCTGCTATATTTTAAATATATTGATAACCAAGATTAGTTGGAAATTTTACAGATCACAAAGATAGATAGATTAAAAATAACAACACCAAAACTAAATAAGTATAGGTTAAATTTTATATGTAATATTTTTTAATTTGTAGAATGTATAACATTTATAGTGGTGAAGATGAAATTATGGAGATAGGTTCTCCTGAATCAAATCTGAATCTTAAAATTCTAGATGGAAAATTTTATAAAGTAATTCATGTGAAAAAGGACAAGGTACAAGCCGAATGTCAAAATTGCACAAGTAAAAAAGTTATTAAAGGTTGAACAAACTCCTCTACAAACTTTGTTAAACATATTAAAGTATATTATACATTTTAATTTTATTATTAACATAATAATACCTATACCTAAGTCCCTCCTAGATAATTGTTATTAAAATTTTTTATAGAACTATTATTTTGGATATATAATTTTTAGAGGTGTACCGATACCACTTTTTGGAGGTCGATCCGATATCATATATAGTTTTGTATTCTGTAAAGATACCAATGGTTTTAATTTTTAATATACTTTTTATTAGTATAACATCTATAATTTAACAATACCATAACTTATGATCAGTTATAGTTTATATTCAATTCAATTGCAATTCTAAAAGTATATAAAATATTTTAATTGTTAAATCACTTTTATATAACAAGTAATAACAATAATCTATATACATATTAATTAATAAACAATTATATTATGAAATTTTAAATAAATATTTAAAATAATATTTAACATTAATATAGCAAAGATTTCTTTTTAGTAATACCAATATTTCCAATTTATCAGAGGTCAGCTTGCGGCGATAGTAACTATCAATATCACCAGCTTAACTAAAAACAGATTCTGAAGAGATTATCGCACACTTTTATAAACAGAATGCGCAAAAAAATAACAATATGGTAGAATGTTTATTAATTAAATATTATTATTAAAAAAATATACATAAAAATGGATTTCGATTTTATTTATAAAAATAAATGATTTTAGATATAACTATTTTTTTAAATTTTATAACATTTTATTTTTGTTAAAGAAGCCATTTTTATATAGGATCAAATTTTATAATATTGACCGATAATTGATATTTTAAAATGGGTGAAATATCGGTTCGATAAAAAATATCGGAACATCCCTATTATATTTTATATTTAATTATTTTAGCAAGTTCTTATTAGAGGAAATATTTAAGCTACAATTGATATATAATATTAGATAATTTTAAAAGGCTCTTAATAAAATAATTATAATAAGGTAGAATTTAACTTTATTAGTTACTTTTATTTATTTATGATATAAGTAAAATTATATTACAGTATTTATCTATAAACTCTAATCAATTTAAAATGCATTAAAGAAAATTGTTATATATTTAATAATTAAATAATATAATGTTGCACATTATTTTCATATTTTTTATTTATAATTAATGATCTTGCAAGAAATATGTTAAAAAAATTTGAAAAGAGATTTAAATGTATATATATGATATTACAAATGCAAGATTTATAAAGTCATACTAGAAAATAAAACTAATTTAATAAATACATAAATATCACAAACAAGTAATGAAAAATACTTATTAAAGATAATGAATAAAATAAAACTAGTATTATTTTTTTTTAAAGATTCTATTTAGCCATATACTTCGAATATAAGCTATATTTAAAACAACACAAAAAATAAACTGCAAATTCTAATAAATCATTTGATTTAATTTTTTTTCTTATTTGCACATTTTCAACTCCCATTAAATATACTACTCTCCACTTCCCTGTTTAAGCTATTAATGAACAAAAATTAATATTAAAATCCCTGGTTATTATAATTAATTCTTCAATAAATATTTTATTAATTATTGCAAATATTCATTATTTATATGTGTAATATTATGTTCTTCACATATAAATAATAAAAATTGTATATTTTATAAACTATTCTAATTTAATTGGTAATGATAATTTAAAAGTATCTAGTATTTAAGATACTCTAATTTAGTAAAAGATACAAGTATCTTTTATCTTGTATCTTTTTGATATTTTGAACAAGATACTAGTATCTGTATCTAAGATTCATTTTTTTATAAAGAATCTGTATATGTATCTAGATTCTTTTTCCGGAGGACCTGCCCAACTCTGGATATACTAGTATCTTATTAAAAATGTCAATAAGATACTGAGTACAAGATACAAAAGGATCTTGTATCTTAGATACACGTATTCGCGGTACTGCCCAACTCTGGTTATTATATAAATTTATAAGTTAATTGCTTTTATTATTAAATATTTAATTGCGGTGCATTATTTCGAAAAAATGGATAAATATTTTATAGTTTTAAAAAGACACATTTATATTTATTAAGCTAGTTGATAACCCGTCAAGAATGACGAGAATAATAAAATCTTGAACTATTATATGAAATTTTTTTTAAATACATAGTTTATATAAAATAAATGACAAATTTTAATGATTATTTATTCATTTTATTAAATTTAGCGTAAAATATATGAAATTTTAATCAAAAATGTAGGGTAGATATTGATAAATTGGTATTATATGTCATTTTCAGAGATCAAATATTGTTGTTGAGATAAAATTTTTATACTGGCATATTTTGGGGTGGTAATATGAGATAAATGTTTATTTTTCAATTGGCTAAATATAATTTAATTTGCTATTTTAAATTTGATAATATTTATTCTTACCATAATTTGAGGTGAGGTTAGTATTCTTTTTAATATAACACAATAAGATGTAAATTATATAAATTAATTGAAAAATATGTTAATAGCAAAATAATAATATATATAAGAAAGATTATATTACAAATTTTAATATAGAAGGTGGCTGAGTGGAAGAACGTTTGCCTTTAAAACGTTAAGTCATAGGTTCGAATCCCGTGATGTACAAAAATTTTCTTAAAATTTAACATTAGAGCTATATAGTCTCCATCGATTTATTTAACATTAAGATGATAGGAAAGTTGATAGAAAAAATAAATATAACATTAAGATTATACGAAAACGTTCATTTCTTGTTTAACATTAAGATGATAGGATAGTTGATAGGAAAAATAAAAATTAACGTTAAGATTATAAGAAAACGTTCATTTCTTGATTAAGGTGATTAGATTATATATATAATTTGAGAAATTTATTACAAGATTTAAAGTTATGATATATGCTAATGAATCACGATATTTTAATAGTATCATTCATAATTAGCGATCGGTGATTAAGTCACAGCACACATTATATTTAAGTGTATATTTCATGATACAATTGTTTTTAAACCATGTTTAGTTATTTTAAATATAATTTTCTAAAAAAAATTGACCAAAATGACATGTGAATATTTCATATTATTTAACTCTAAAAAGAAAGACAAAAGTAACATTTTTTACCTTAACCTCTTTTCTACACAATTTTTTGGGTATTAGAACTAGAGATCGGCAAAGTTAGGCCCGGCCCGTACCCGGTCCTAATTCTATTTAAAATAATCGGGGCCGGGCCTAATATTTTAAAAAAAAATTCGGGCAGGCTCGGGTCGGATTTTGGAATTTTTTTAAATATATCTAAATTTATCAATTTTATATTGAATTTTTTATGTAAAATAAAAATATTTGATTTTATTTATTGAAACTAAACGACATATAACATATTAAATAATTATAAAAATTAATTTCTATATTTAAATAAATTCGGGCCGGGCCGGCAAAACATTTTTAAAAAAATTTTCGGGCCGGGACTTGAAAAATTAGGCCCGATGCAGATCACTAATTAGAACATTTCACTATATTAAAAAGTATATTTAAACCTTTAAATAGCTGATTCGCAAATGACACAATTTTTGAAAAAATCAATAATACTTTTTTTACTACCTATTAAATGTTTCAAATAACATAATAATATGCGCCACCCTATAATGAATTTTTTTAGAGAAAAAATAAAAAATGATTATATATGCTAATATACCATGAAATTTTTTTTTATACTAATTCAATGTATATTATTATTTATCCATCTACTTTAATTATTTAATGTTATAAAAGCTAGCTAATGTAAGATTTTAAAAAAAATCGATATAATATATTATTGTTGTGATATATTGTATAATATATATAAATATGTGTAATTTAGAGGGAAAAAAAATTAAAAGTAATCACGATTAACAAAATTACAATAGAATAATGAAAGGTAGACAATTAAAATGAGCTTATAAAAATCAGGTGGGGAAAAAAATTAAGTAAGGTCAAACTCTCCCTAGTAAATGCACTTATAAAGTTTTGAACACGTTATATTTTAAAAACCTACCGAGGTGCATTTAAATATTAATAAATGCATTATTTCATATAAAGTGTAAATGGAAATTACAAAAATTTGATAATTAATGTAACTATATATTAAAAAAGATTGAATATTATCATTTTCTATAAATGATCATTAAAATATAATAGAGATATAATTTTGACTAAAACCGGATAATTATTTTTTTAATCTAATTAATCCTTATTTAAAGGTGTAATTAAAAAGAAGAAATCTTTTAGCTAATAAATGAACAAAATTGCGGTAATACTTAGTCACATTTATACAAAATTTAAACGTTAACCGTTTCGATAAATCATCAATTAAAAGGTGAATATTTTTAAAATAATATAGTTTCTTCATTGCCCAAAGTTGCATATTTAGATAGTAATTAAAACAATAAATCGGAATGTTGAACGGTTTGAGACCATTTGGCAGTTGCTTCTTCCTCGATGGATAGTGGTTTAAGATAATCTTTTTCATAAGTAGGACTCGCTTGAGGGATGGGTGATGTCATAGAATATTCCTCATGTGTAAAGCAATTAACTAATAAATCTCGGTTCAGTTTAAGGTGTTTGGGAGTGAATCGAGAAAGCTTTTCGTAAAAATAACTAGGGGTATGGGCTGAAGATTTAAATTCCTCATGGCTAAATAAGGGATTTCGATCATTCGAATTAACTAGATTATGGGAATTTTGCAAATATATAGATTTGGTGGCTATATGCGTGGGCGAAAGGCTTAGGCTATTTGGTTTAGGAGAAGATTGGTTCGTTGTTATCATTGATAAAGAAGATATCGATGTAAGAGATGTGGGTGAAGTGCAACTAAGTTTTGATTCTGAAGAAGGATCGTTTTGATTTACTGGATTATAATCTGTTATACATATAAGAGGAAAGGCGTCATTTTTAAAATCATGGTAACTTGTTAAAAAATAAATAAAAAATTTAGATAAATTATTATACTACCACATAATAATAAGAAATAAGAGGAATTTGAAATTAAATAACAATCAACAATCGCATCTAAGTGACATGAAGCCGTGGGAAAAATTTATTTGATTTATTTAGTTTAAAAATGAGAACGCATTAACTTAATTAATTTTTAATAGCTGGCAAGTATAATTACATCTTATGAATAAATGATAAACTACATACCCATTTTGTAAGCTCTAAATCCCAAATTCAAAATGATAATATAAAAAACATCAACTTTAAGTCTAGTATTGAGTTAATGGCTAGTAAATTAATATATATGAAAAATTTATTGACATTTCTTTCATTCATTTAATGATTATTTGTGAAATTGGAAAAAAAAAAGAATGTTTCATTTACCAATATCACTATAAACATCTTCGCTTTTCCCTTCATCTGTATTATTATTAAAGTCACAACTTTTAATTTTACCACCTAATTTAGACTGCTTGTTTTTACTGCTCCCCTTTTTGTTATTATAAGGTGTGAGAGAAATGGTTGCTGTTGCAGCTTTGATATTAAAAGCTTCTATACGTGATTTGACATCCTCGTTTTCTAAATGAAAATCAAACAACGACTGTTCAGAAGGGTACTCATAAGTTGTGGGTTCGGTTTGATCAAACGATATGCGCAACTGTTATATATATATTCGATAAAAATAATAAAAAATATTGTTATGTGAACTATTCCTCAAAAGTCCATCTGGCCCAATGACACTACCTAGACTAACGATATTACATATAAAATGCATTCTGAAGCGTCGTTGAATAAAAATCAGTTGGTGACACGCCATTTAGGTCTCCTTTACAATTTTTCTATTATAAATCATACTGTTTTTTTTATTTAAATGAAGATTTTTTATACGGGAGATCAAAATGGTGTGCCACCCGCTTATTTGAATTGATGTAAATTTATGAATCGTGGGTCAAGGTTATTATATGTTATTGGTCCTGCCCAGTCCTCCAAAATGGCTTATTTATTATGAACATGTTCTGGATAATGGTCAGATGGACGCGTCCGTCTTAAAAGAACCAATGTATTAAGCTATGTCCAAATTTAATATTTTGTTTTTCCCCCTAATGCGTTAAGATACAACTGTCCGTACTTGATTATTTTAATAAAATAATTTTAAAATTAGCTTTGATGTCCCTTCCAGTAGCCCCTACAACAGGGGAAAAAGGGGTCGGAGTCCGAAGCAACTGCTTCTAAAATTTGAGTGGAGGTACTTTTTTTAAAAAACAAATTTTTTTTTTAATTTTTATTTTTTAAAATTTAATTCTTTTATTGTTTTACTACACTCATACATAACCAAGTAATTTCTGGTTCGTGATATCAGACTCTACCTCTTGATTCCGTTAGTATTAAATTAAATAATAAGTAGGGGAGGGGAGGGGGGGGGATCTTATTATTACATTTTAATAAATTTTGGTCGATGTTTAGTAAATTAGGTTGTTATCCGAGATTTCTTGTCATAAATATATTTTTCCAATTTCAAAATATGCTCAAAGATATTATTAACCAAAAAATACAAATGCTTAATTAATAATTGCACATATAATATGATAAAAGAAAAGCTTTGAAATGGTAGCTTTTAAGAATATTTCTCAAAACTTGATGATTAGCAAAGTAATTTTTAATAATGAATGGATGAAACTTTTTAATCAAACATCATTTTTTTACACCAAAGGATGGTAGAAAAGTTAATCGTTAAAGATAGGATATTTGTGAATTTTACCATTTAAATTTCAAATTTTTGAAGAAATTTTGAAGTTTCGAAATATTTATAAGATGGCTAAAACGAGGATGCAATTAGTACACGTGACCTAAAGGTTAAAGAATCTAAAGATTTGTCAGAATTTGAGATTTGTAAATTTATTTAATAAAAATATTTATACATTATTTAGCATCTTTTTCTGATGATTCTGAGACTTATGATTCAGACTGGAAAAACTATTCGTTTATTTTACCTTATCTTCTACTTTAAAATTTTTCTGCTTTCCCTAATTTAGCAATTTTATATAAATATTTATTAACCATTCTTACTACCTCAAGTACTGCCGAAAGGGTCATAAGTAAAATTAAATTAATTAAAACAAGACTTTGTAGTACCATGAAAGATCCATTTCTTAATAATTTAACCATTTTATCAATGGAAATTTTTTTATTTAAACAATTAAATATTGATAAAATTATCGCTTTCTCTTCCCCTAATTTGTCTAAATAATTAATTTAAAAATAATATTTTTTAAGTATAAATTTTTTTACATTTTATTTATATTGATGATTATCTTAATAGACATGGGTTGCATTTTGATGTGGCCTTGGTAGCGCCTTGTGGGTAACTCCCGTATTCCCCTAGTTAGTATTTATAGTTTCCTTCTAGAAGATGGTTAAAACACTCCCATTAAATCCGGGTTCTCAAGAACTCAACCCCCCCTCCCATCACGAAAATTCAGATGGATTTAAATTATTTTTGAAATGGGCGTCAAAAAATAATAAATAATTTTTTAAAGGGGGGGATTTTAGGGGGTATTCTGCTTCTTTCGCTCAGAAAGTGTAGGGGTCATTGGTCACTTCTACAATGCGACACTTGATATGGCTAATTTGTCATTTGATAACTCGTCACCTTGTAATGGGACACTTTCTAATGCAAGATTTTATAAGGCGGCATTTTATTAAATGACCCTTCGTAATATCCTTTATAAGGTGTATACTTACAATTAGGGCTGTGCCGATATTAAATATCTGATCGGATCGGTACCGATATTTAGCGTTTCCTAAAAATATCGGATCTGGCCGATATCTGTAAAAACCCGATCCGATCCGATCTTTTTACTTTTCTTTTTTTTGTTATTTTATTTTATGTTATGTACATTTATTTTACATTATTATAATATTTTCTAAATAATTTTTTTACTTTTTTAAAATAGCTTTATAATAGTATTTTAAAAGTATTTTTTTATAAAAATAGAAAGGAACACCCAAAGTTTTATTTATTTTAAATCTTTTTAAATAACGCCAATTTTTTTATTTATACTTTTAATAAAAGAATTTTTTTAAATATGATATCTGAATTATGGAAATATTTACAAAATACAAAGATAATTTTGCAAAATGCGTTATCTGCGGAATCATCTGAGTCTGACTTCAGTACGGCAGGAGATATATAGTCCATATCGTATAAGCTTATTCCCATAAAATGTAAAGGCTCTCATATTTATTAAAAAAATCTAATATATTATAATTTTTGTTATATTCGCTTTGTGAATATGTGATCGACGATTGTTAAGTATTAATTTGAATATAAATTATATTTTTATATAATTTGTTAGTTTGTGAATATATGATCGACGATTGTTAAATATTAATTTGAATATGCAGTCTAGGAATTTATTTTTTTTATGAACTTGAATAGACTTGTAATTTTAATTATTTTTATGAATACTTGTAATTTTTATTATTTTTATGAATTTTTAATATAATTGTAATTTTGCATATTAAAAAAATGTATATAAATGAAAAAATTTTAAAATAAAAGTCAGTGAATGGTTTTATAACTCAAGAAACTTATTTTTGTGGTATAAATTTCGCGTAAGACTTTACCGAATTATTTAATTTTTATATATATTCTTTTTTATTAATACTAGGTTCATATAATTTCAAGTCTCTCCCACGAGCCTTCGACAGTTTGATTACAATTCATATAAGGATTTGTAACAATTTTATATATTAAATATTACAATTTTATAAATCCAACATAAAATGGATATATTATTAAATATATATTTTTTTTATTATAGTCTTAATTGTAGAAATAAAAAAATTAAAATTAAATTCATAATTCATAATTCGATTTTTTGCATAAAAAATATTGATTTCTTAATTACATTTGGTTCAAAAGGGGGTGATTAAAAATCAGTAAAATATCGGATCGGTATCGGATGGGGTTTGAAGCAATATCGGAAAATATCGGATTGGTGAAAAATATGTGGATCGGCACAGCTCTACTTACAATAATATTAAAATTTGAAATAATATTTAAACATTAAAAATTTAATATTATAAAACCAATCTTGACAACTATTATATATTGAAGCCTTAATAGGAAATTTAAAATAGTTGATAAATATATTTTTAATACCTACACTTTTATAATTGAATATGAATACTTTTTTAAGCTAATGTTCTATTTTTGGATGATCCAACAACATATCTTCATATAATAAATATAATTACTGGTAATCCTTTCTTACTTAATTTTTTTAAATATTATTTAATATTTTTTGGTCACTTTTATAGTCCTCTCCTTTCAGAAATATCTTCTTAGATAAAACCTTTTTATCATTGTGAAAACTTTAAAAATTTGGACCGAGCTTAAAAATAAAAAACCCGAGTCGATCTAAAGGTTCTATTTTTAGATCTGAACCGATCTCAGCGGGTTTCTGGTCATTACTACTTATACCTTGACATTGAGGCCAGTTCATTATAATGAACCATTATGAAATAATAGACAAGGTTTATTTTTTTAAAAAAGCTTTCACAATTGAGAGATACGTAATTTTAACAATAAAAATAGAACTTTCGGTCGGCCTTTTAATTTGGTTTTCACAATATCAAATTATCACTATTTCCGGATTCATAAACGAATTAAATTGATCGTTATATAAAAATGTATTCTCAAGATTTTTTAAAAACAGCAAGACATCTAAAATATCGATGCGAAATAGAATAATGGATACTTTTATTTAAAATTTGAAAATACCAGCAACCTCCACTCACATAAATCAAAAAAAAAAATTTTTTTACAAGATACCTGATTTATCGTTCAAAATATTTAAAAAATTTGCAAATTATTTATGTCACATCACAATCACATCAAAAACATATTTTTTTAAAATAATAAAATATCGTACATAAAAAGAAAATTTTTAATTTTAAAAAGCTAAAAAAATGAGAAGGAAAAAAATAGGTGATATTAAAAAAATAGTATTTTGTTAAAAATGACAAAATAAAAAAAAAATAACATCCTAATGGTAAAGACAAAAAATAAAAATAATATTTTTTTAGTATAATTAATTTTCATTTTATTTTTTCTAAAATAGACAATTTCTCTGACGGCAAAAATTTTGTGTCTTCTTTTTTATATTTTTTTATATGTGAAAAATATATTATTTTACCTTTTTTGAGGTAAAAGAGGCAAAGAGAAGAGCAAGGGAAAAAAAGAGGAAAAATGAAAATATAAATAATAAAGGGTAAAAAAAGCTTTAAAAAAATAATAAAGGCATATTAATAAGATATACATTACATAATACACTAGATTTGTTTATTCAAAAATTGTATGTTTGAAAAAAAATATAACATTAGGGCCAAAACAATTAAAGATAGATAGACTTTTAGGAAAATATCATCTATGTGTATCGTTGATCAATATACTATATTAGATTATTATGTTCTAAATGAAAACTATGGTTTATAAAGGAGTGATATTTTATTTTCTTCTATAATGGTTATAAAATTAAAAGGATGTTTGTAAAAAATATCAAAAATATTTGAGAAATTACTCTTTCAATATAATACCGTTCAAATTGACAACAAAAATTTAATAAAATTCTTCAAGTCCGATCCGATTGATCT